TGCCACCCCACTCTGGGAGAGAAGCATTCATAATGAGAGTCCGCGAGGGAGTCGTCATATCTAGGGACAATCCCCTCTCCAAGTTTCGGGTGTCCTTCCCACTAAGGGAGGGCCACCTAGACTGACAAGTGAACCCTAAATGTCTGGTTTTGCATATGGGCCTCAGAATCGAACGAGGCCGGAGAGCTGCTGACAGAACTAGACAACGAACTGAAGTCATACTGCAAATAAGGCGCATCAGTTCATGCATTGAAGCCGATCCCATCGACTGGAGTTGGCAGTCGAGCTCCACAAATGAGTGGCAATGCACCTGAGAGGGGCGAACAAGTCTTTGTTTGGTTTCAAACTGCATACCCAGAAAAACCTAGGTTGCGGACGGTATGGGGTTGGACTTGACAATATTATTAAAAAAGGATAACTCGTGGAGGGGCGATTCCGTCAATTGCACATGCCTGCTAACACCTCCCTGTCTCGCTTGTGCCTTAACCAGTCACCGAGGTATGGGTTCAGATAAGCCGACGACCAGTGGAACAGATGGGTCACCTGTCTAAACACACCCTGGTGAAGACGTACGGTGCCGTGCACAAACTGAAAAGGAGGGTGGTATACTCATGAATAGGGATGTGGAAATATGCATAGCTCAACTCCTGCGGCGCTAGCCAATCGGCCGAGTGCACTAACAGAGACACGGAAATAGGTATTGAGCTCCACAAACCAGTTCAGTCGCCTGAGGACTAGAACAGGACACCACACCCCAAACTCTTGGGAATGAGGGAGATGTGGGAATAGAACCCTTTAATTTGGGTTCTCCACTAGGCGTACCATCCTTCTCCTCAGAAGGCTTCCTACTTTCAGCGGGGTTGTCTCCGCCTTGACCTCATCCCTCGGTAGAAGAACAGAGGGGGATAAGGCGTCCGGAGAGGGCTTTGATACCCCCAAGACTCTACTGCGAGCATCCAGGGGTCAGAAACTCTCCTGTGCCAAGCTGGTGTGTGCTGCTGAGGCACGATGCGACTGGGAGGAGCGGACGGGTGTCCAGAGCTAGAGCTCTCCGAACTCCATCCTCCAACTTAGGAGGACAAAGACGGAGAAGCTGAGTCCAAGGACTTCAGAGGGGGAACCCAGAGTCGTACCACCATCCATGCCCAGGCAGCCAGTGAAGCCTTTAACAAAACTTTGTGGCTCCCTGGCCCCCGGAAGTGCCAGAACATCCTACCACCAGGCCCACGTTCGTGGCCCACGTTCGTGGAATTCTTCTGACACTTCCCGCTACCAGTCTTCTTCTGCACCTTAGGAGGAGACCACAAGCGCTTTAGATTCTCCCTGGTTCTTGTAAAAAACCAGGGGACTTATTGCCTGAGCAGTCCTGCTGTTTTGGTTTGCCGTAGCAAACAAGAATAATTGTTTCAATGAATACGTTGATCATGATTTCGCACATAGCGACTTTCTGTACTGCCAAATACTGGTCCAACTGCCCGAAGATGGTGGTTCGTTGCTTAGCACTCAGGAGGTCAGAACTTAAAGGGTGAGCTGATGCTCTAACCAAGGAGACCCATTCTACAAAGTTGATGGGTTTAAGTTCTGCCTGCAGCGACTGGTGCACTTGCACGCTCTGGTGTCAAATGAGCATGCAACATGCAATTCCCGATCCGCGTAACCCACGCAAAGGCATGAGTACTGGGATTGGGGTGGAGAACCTGTGAAGAAGGCTGTGGCACAGCACGAGTAACCCAAATCAGGGACCCATTGATGGGGTATTATCCCCCCAACAGAAGGCATGGGACAAGACTGAACCAATCCAGGATCAGTCTTCTTGTCCTTGTCTCTCGAAGGGTACCAATCACCCCCTCCATCACCCTCTGAGCCCCCTCCACAACCTGGATCACCTGAGGTGCCCAGGGGAGTTGGTCAACAGGCATCCACAGCAATGGGAGCGCCTATGAAAACAAAAAAATCCAAAGGCAACTCCCCCAGCGGGGGATTTGGGATCACCATTGGCCCCGCACGAAAACAAAGTCTCGCACCAAACACTGTCCGGTTCGCAAGCTGCGTCCTAAACTGTATAATGGTAAGGGTCAGCTGGGCTCCGGTTGGCTGGGTAGCCTGTGCTCGTCCCAACAAGGAAGGGGCGAGAGACAAGGCACTCGCTCCCCATCCTTGCTGAAGAAGTGGTAGCTGCACCATGCACAGGAGTACCAACACTGGAGACCCACCTCGCAGAGTAACAAGTAGGGGCACTCTGCATGGCCTGGTAAAGTAAAGGTAACAAAGCCTGCTCTGACCATGCCTGAGGGAGGTGTGGGAAACAAAGTTTCAGTTTCCCACTTGATGCCCCCCCTGATCCTCTCAAGGGGAAAACAAAAAAAAGGGGATAAGACACATCTGACCCAAGTCCTGGCGAAGGGGTCGATCTCGCTACATTGAGCAGGGAGTCTGACCATAAGAGGCAAGTCTTGTCTCGCTACCAAGGGAAAAGGGAGAAATTCTTTTCATTCATTAAGTAACAGACACATCGTTAGCTTCGGCTCGGGATTCCCCTTTGAAAGCGACGCATACCAGCTTTTTGCAATTGTTTGCCCTCAGCTTAAACCCCACCTCAAAGTGCTACCACAACCAAGGATACCACAGATCGCAAATTCTGTCAAGGCAAAATCCTGTGTCCCGCTTGCGACTATAACAAAAATGACAACACATATGGTTGGGTCCCAAACTGGCAGCTCTAAGTGGCAAGACGAACGCATCTTTAGTCAGCACGATCTTAGTTATTTTAATGATTAAAGCATGATGCAATCAAAGAAAAGACATTAAAAGTGATGGTGAAAAAACAAAGCAGCCTGTCAGCTGAGATAGCTCCGCTGTTAGCAATGCACATTGCAATTAAAGAACACAAGATATCATTAGAAAATGAACAATATGTATAGTACATTTATCAAAGCAATCGGACTTGCTGTTTTCAACAAAAATTCAAAAATATCACTTTTTACCAAAAATTACAAAAATATTCACCAAAATTAGAGAATTAAGATATCATCAAGAAATGAACAAATCTAAGAGAGGTGTACCCTAGGTACATATACACCAAGAATCAAAGCATTCAGGCTTGTAGTTTTCAAGAAGAAAAAGACGGGTGTCGAACACTGATGGACAATCACTCATATGATAAGCTACACTCGACAAAGTCAACAGCGAAGCTAAAAATTCACCGCGCCAAAAATAGAAATCAAGGCGAATATAAACTGAGCTGGCGATTCAACAAAAAACAAGTACAAATGGGGCCAATAATAATTGAAAGCCATTACCGTAATTATGTTGATTGTCGAAGTTGATCACAATCACTAGATTTCTAGAGAGGATCAGTCAAAAAACTGCAATCTGTATTCTTTTTGTTCAGTAATACCACAGCTAAAAAATAACTCAACAGTTGGCTTCAGAAACAAAAACAGATTTTTCTATGGGGAATGCTACCCTAGGGTGTTCTTTGTGAACCCGGTTATATTCCCTAATAGTTTCCGTTTGGGGCTGTAATCTGTAATTACCGTATTTGTCTTCAGTTAAGCGCCACCTTCAATTAGGCGCCAGTGCCACAAAAACTTTGTATTTTACACCTCAATTAAGCGCCAGACAAAGTTGAAATTTTGGCACGTAATGATCGTGAATTGGGCGCCGA